ATCAATATTCAATCATCAATCAAGAACTTCTCTCTCTACAAACTAGAGTTTTTCTCTCTGTAAAAATCTAACCTAATTCTAGTCTAATTTCTAAACATCAACTCTCCTCTAAGAATAGAGGGAAAATCTAAATATAGCAAAACTAACAAAGAGAAGTTAGTTAGATCGTCCCCAAAATAGACCCTTACAAGCGCGGCTGACTATAAAGGGGAGCGCGGCCGCGCAAATCTGGGTACGAAACAGAGACCCAGACAGGAGCGTCAGTGCCATAGTCGCACGTGCCCGCGCTTGGGAACAGGGCGGCCCTCTTCACCATCATGTTGATGCTCCTTTTACGTTCCACTCAATCCTCTTGATAAACACGGGACCTTGCAGTTTCCAAACTCCATGTTTGTGGGTTCAACACGAAAAATTGTGCACCCACGGCTTGAATGCACGGCTTAAGGTCTTTGGGAACTTGCACTTCTCCATGCTTGAGCTTCAAATGGAGAACATTGGGCATCCTAATCAATGTCAAACTTGGGAAGGGGACTCGGGAATCTTTGGCTAACGACCTTAACCTGAAAAAATGAAAGAAAACAAGAAAATAAAAAGGAAAATAACAAAATAAAACAAGAAATGCTTGAAAAAGGAAAATCAATTAAGTAAAGAGTAAATTGAAGAAATAAAGAGTAAAAATAAAGAGAAAGGAAATGAAATATCTACAAAAGCAATCTAAAATCATCCTAAAAGAGAACAAATGAGTGCCATAAATGACACTCATCAAATTCCCCCAAGCTAGACTTTTGCTCGTCCTCGAGCAAAACAAAGCAAGAAAGAATAAGGATGAAACACATATTCAAAAAGAAAAAGAAAAACAAGAGAAGAGAATATATACTAAGACTCACTAACGTAGGAATCATGGTTTTTTTAAGCTACAACAAGCCCTTTAAACCCCAAAGTCGCCTATGAGGACAAGTGAGGTCTTGTAAAGGTTTCCTAAGAGCTTAACCCATAACTCTTTGAAATAAAACGAGGCAAAATCATTTAAAAGGAACGAAGGTAAATCAAAAATTCAAACAAATAGCTCTTAATAAGGATCTTCACAAACGAACAAATGCAAATGAATGAACACCTTTCTATATGATAAGGGTATGCATTCTTCAAGATATCCACGGTTGATTGAAAGATAAGGTATGCTAAGCGTAGAGAACTAATGAAGTGCAATCCACTTTCATCCCAACCAAGTGAAAATAAAATGAAAGAAAGAGAGAGAAAAATAAATAAGGTCGGTGCGTTTAAGGAGCAAAAGAAGGGGGTGCGCGGCCGCATTACCAGGTCGCGCGCCCGCTCCCTATGGTTGGCGGCCGCGCAATGATCGCGCGCGCCCGCGCCCTTCTGGGTATGTGATCTTCTGAATCTCCTCTCGTCCGCACATCGGTGAGTACAAGGGGAATGATCATGATGAAGATTAAGGAAAGAATTTTCTAAACTCTAAGAATGTGGGTTTAACACTAGATTTTCATGAACCCACCATTTGAACCCACCAAACTTCAATTCTTACTCATGCTTCCAATTTATCAACTTGACCACTTCCTCTTCAAAATAGGCACCAAAATTGTTGGAAATCCAATCAAAACCACCTAAAACACAATCAAGAAAGAAAATCAAATAAGAATATAAACAACAAAAAGAAAACAAAAATCAAGGAAAATAGAGAAAATGGTTAGAAACTCGGGTTGCCTCCCGAAAAGCGCTTGTTTAACGTCATTAGATTGACGTTCTCCACCCTTCAAGGTGGATCATAGAGAGTCATATCATGAATAACTCCCATAAAGCCTCCATCATAGTAGCGCTTAAGCCTATGACCATTGACTTTGAAAGTTCTTGAGAAATCCAAAGGAGATATTTCAACCGCACCATTAGGAAAAACCTCTTGAACAACAAAAGGACCACTCCAACGAGACATTAGCTTCCCGGGAAATAATCTCATCCTAGAATTGTAAAGGAGAACCTTGCCACCAACATTGAACTCCTTCTTCTCAATAAACTTATCATGCACTTCCTTAGTGCGAGTCTTATACATGCTTGCACAATCATATGCATCCAATCGAAGTTCTTCCAACTCATGGAGGTCAAGCCAACGTTGCTCATCCGCACTTGCCAAGTCGAAATTAATTTTCTTGATAGCCCAATGAGTACGATGCTGAAGTTCGGTCGAAAGATGACAAGACTTCCCATAAACCAAGCGGTAAGGATTAGTGCCAATAGGAGACTTGATGACCGTTCTATATGCCTACAAGGCATCATCTATCTTATCCGACAAATCCTTCCTATTTCTTGCGGCCGTCTTCTCTAAAATCAATTTGATTTGATGGTTAGACACTTCGACTTGCCCACTAGTTTGAGGGTGATAGGGGAGTCTGAAACGTTATTTAACTCCATGCTTCTTCAACATCTTGCGAAAGGCGCTATGTACAAAATGAGATCCATTATCACTAATAACCACCTTTGGGATGCCAAATCGTGGGAAAATTATCTTCTTGAACGTCATCATTGCTACCTTATGGTCGTTTGTAGGTGAAGCAATAGCTTCCACCCATTCTAACACATAATCGACGATAACAAGGATATATTGATTCCCATATGAAGTAGGTAAAGGACCTATGAAGTCTATTCCCCATACATCAAAAATTTCCAACTCTAGTATAGGTTGTTGGGGCATCTCGTTTCTCTTTGAAATGTTTCCGGTCCTTTGGCATCAGTCACAACTCTTGACAAACTCCCAAACATTCTTCAAAAGATTTGGCCACCATAATCCGCATTGGAGCACCTTTGAAGCCGTTTTTTAAAACACCCATGTGACCACCACTCGGATCCGAGTTACACATCTTCAATACACTAGGTAACACCTAATTTGGAACACATCTCCTTAATAAACCATCAACACCCCTTTTATACAAAATCGGTTCATCCCAAACATAATGCCTAGCCTCCCTCTTGAGCATTTTTCTTCGATTCTTGGAAAATGAAGGAGGAAACTCCCCACAAGCAAGATAGTTCACCAAATCGACAAACCATGGGAGTTCCTTCACATCTATAGCATACAAAGAATCATCTAACATTCTATCTTCAATGGGAAACCCATCATCTTGAACTTGAAAATTCTCAAGTCTAGATAGATGATCCGCTACTACATTCTCCGCTCCTTTCTTATCTCTAATCTCAAGGTCAAAAGATTGAAGCTCTAACACCCAACAAATTAGCCTTGGCTTTGATTCCTTCTTCCCAAAAAGATATTTTAGTTTCGCATGATCGGTGAACACAATTGTTTTGGACCCTAACAAATAGCAACAAAAATTTTCAAAGGAATGAACGATAGCCAAGAACTCTTTCTTCGTAGTAGTGTACTTCCGTTGAGCTCCATTTAGAGTCTTAGACATTTAATAAATCACATGAAGTTTCTTATCAACTCTTTGACCTAAGAGTCCTCCAATCGCCGCGTCACTTGCATCACAAATCAACTCATGTGGTAAATCCCATCTTGGAGCTTAAAAAATTGGAGTGGAGATTAGAGCTCTGTTCAACTTATTGAATGCCTCCAAACACTTATAATCAAATACAAACTCCGCATCCTTTTAAAGAAGATCATTGAGGGGCTTTGCAATGAGCAAGAAATCCTTGATGAATACTCTATATAACCCGGCATGGCCTAAAAATGATCTCACACCCTTCACATTAACCGGAGGTGGCAACTTTTCTATAACCTCAATCTTTTCCTTGTCAACCTCTATGCCCTTGTGGGAAATTTTGTGCCCAAGGACTATGCCTTCTTCAACCATGAAATGGAATTTTTCCCAATTCAACACCAATTTCACTTTCTCACACCTTGACAAGCACTTTTCAAGATTTTCAAGGCAGGCCTCAAAGGAAACTCCACCTACGGAAAATTCATCCATAAACACCTCCATATCCTCCTCCAACATGTCTCCAAAGATACATATCACACACCGTTGGAAAGTGGCGGGAGCATTGCAAAGGCCGAATGACATTCTCATATAGGAAAAGGTACCATAGGGACAAGTAAAAGTAGTTTTCTCTTGGTCATCAGGATGAATAGGAATTTAGAAAAATCCCGAGTAACCATCAAGGAAACAATAGTACTTGTGCCTCGTTAGTCTTTCAAGCATTTGATCAATGAAAGGAAGGATGAAGTGATCTTTCTTGGTGGATGTGTTTAGACGTCTATAGTCTATACACATTCGCCAACCGATGATCGTCCTTGTTGGAATAAGCTCACCTTTTTCATTCTTGACAACGGCCATGCCTTCCTTCTTTAAAACGACGTGAACGGGTGAGACCCACCTAGAGCTTGAGATGGGGAATATGATCCTCGCATCTAAAAGCTTAGTAATCTCTTTCTTCATTACCTCCCCCATTTGGGGATGTAATTTTCGTTGTCGTTCAATAGAAGGAAGGGCACCCTCGTCAAGGGTTATGTGGTGTGTACATAAAGCGGGGCTTATACCCTTGAGGTCATTAATGGTATAACCCAAAGCATCTTGGTGCTTTCTCAAAACACCGCATAACGCTTGAGCTTGGCTTTCACTCAAAGATTCACTAACAATCACGGGGTAAGTAGAATTTGGGCCTAAGAATTCATACCTAAGGTGTGATGGTAAAGGTTTGAGCTCTACCATGGGAACACCTTTACCTTCTTTGGTTGAAGCCGCTTGCAAAGCCTCTTGGATTGAGATTTTCATGCAAATTTGATCATCACTTCCTTCAAGACTCCCATCTAACAAATTCTTATACAAAGTCATTTCCTTGCTGGGAGAACCTATCTTTTCCTTGTTCAACAAAACACACTCAAGAGGATCATTAGTTATGAGCAAGTGCTCATGCAATGAATGTATAATATTGTCTAAAATTTCAAATTTCATGCAATTCTCAAGAGATGAAGAAGGATATTTCATACTTTCATTCAAATCAAATTCAACTCCCTCATCTCCAATTTTAAGTTAAATCTTAGCACTTTTGACATCAATCAAAGCACCTGAAGTAGCAAGAAATGGTCTACCAAGAATAATAGGAATTGTAGAATCCTCATCTATATCAAGGACAAAAAAATCTACCGGGATGATGAACTTTCCTACCCTTAAGGTAACATCCTCTACCTTGCCCCTTGGAATCCTAATTGATCTATCGGCTAATTGCAAAGTAATGTTAGTAGGTAAAAGTTCTCCCTTCTCTAGTCTTTGATATAGAGAGTATGGCATAATGCTAACACTAGCTCCCAAGTCACACAAAGCATTATCAATTTGCATTTTATAAATAGCATAAGGGATATAAAAGTTTCTGGGATCCTTCAACTTGGGTGGGATTTTGGTCATTATGATTGCACTACAATTCTCGATCAAGTTAACCGTTTTTGCCACATCACATGTTCTTTTTCCCCTCAAGATCTCCTTAAGGAACTTTTCATAATTTGGCATTTGTTCTATCACATCGGTAAAAGGAAGAGTAAGATGAAGTTGTCTAAGCATCTATATAAATTTCCCAAATTTCTCGTCTAATTTGTGCCTATTAAACTTTTGTGGGTAAGGGAGCTTAGGCTTGTAGACTTCTCTTTCTCTCTCTTTCACCTTCTCAACTTGTTCCTTATTGATTTCCTCAACTAAAGTATTCTCATCTCCCTCATTCTCAATTTGACCATTGCTAGGACTCTCGTTAGCATCACTCTTCTTAGAGACTTCACTCTTAAGGACCCTACCACTCCTAGTCACAATCGCATTCACAGGGCTCTTAGGATCTAAGCTTGGTGAAGTCAAAGAAGAAAGATTTGTAAATTCCTTAAACTCATCATTAGCCAATTGAGAAATATGGGTCTCCAACCTCTTATGGTAAGTTAACATGTCATTGAATTTCTTATTGCTTAGGGTCATGTAAGTGTCCAACAATTTGACTTGCTTCTCTATGACATCTTCCAAGAAAATCCTAGAGGAAATTGGTTGATCATACAAATTATCACTTTGCCCTTGGGTATTCGGAATAAATCCAAGTGGGGTAACTCTTTGAACATTCGATTGAAAATTTCCTCTACTTTGATTGTTCTAATTACCTCTACATTGATTTTGGCCTCAATCGTGATTATGGTTACCATAACCTTGGTTATAATCCCCATATCCTTGGCCATGACTTTGACCATTATAACCATGCACAAGTAGAAAAAATTCTATTTGTAACGCCCTATTAGTAACTGGCGTATGTATATGCTAGTTACAAAATCATCAATAGTAACCGACTAAGATAATGCCAGTTACAAATTTCATGACATTAGTAACCAGCGTAGTAAAAGTCAGTTACTAATATGTGGTTTATCATTGTTTGAAGTTTTATTATTAACTAACTAAATAAATGTCATTTATATTAAGTCAAAAAAACATTGACTAAAAAGCTTGTAACTAGCTTACAAACGCCAGTTACAAATATTAAGTCAAAGAAAATTTGACCAAAGCATTTGTAACTAGCTTATAAACATCAGTTACAAATATTAAGTAAAGAAAACTTTACCAAAGCGTTTGTAACTAGCTTACAAACGCCAGTTAAAATAATAAGTCAAAGAAATTTTGACCAAAAAGTTTGTAAGTAGCTTATAAACGCCAGTTACAAATAATAAGTCAAAAAATAATTTTTTTTTGAAGCAGAAAAGATTAAGTTTCTACATTCTATTAATATTATTTAATTTTCATTTAATTTTTATTAAAGGTTAAAAAAAATTATTGAATGCTAGTAAATTTGCAGAAATAAAAAAACAAACTGAAATTTTTTGCACCTTCGCTCCAACCAACTGCTCGAGGTGATACATAGGCTCAAACTCAAACATCCTTTGCCTTGTACACAAGAACCCCCAACAAATGTTTTCAAGTTAACCTATCCAAATTCGGAGAATGATACATAGGCTCAAACCCCAGTCACTATCTAGACAAACTAGTATAAATCCTGCAAAATGATTACTTCTACTGTAGTTCTTTATACTCTACCTTTTCATCATTCTTTTTCCGTTTTTTCGCAAAAACTCTCTTCCTTAACATCAAACAACAAATTTCTCAAAGGTTTTTTCGCTTTTTCTTTTTCCAGATAATTATTTCACTTTGCATAAACCCTAATTTGATAATTTTAAATTCAAATTTCTCAATGGTTTTTCCAGACAATTTGAGCCCCGATTATCTGTGCTACCATGGTTTTCGGTGGGATTTTCGCTTTCAATTTCCTCGCTTTCTGTTGTATTTTGGTTCTTTCTTTAATGGCGCTTTCCATTTTCTTAATCAATTTCGTTTTATTTTAATATTGTTACAGATGCGGATATGGAAAATTATGAATTTGAGTATTCCGACGATGATGGAGATGAGCAAAATGTTGACATTGAGAATCAGTACTATAATTCCAAAGGTTATTTTTCGATGCTTCTTCAATTTGATTGATAATATAGCGATTTTTGGATTTCCTTTGAAATATTGATTTGTATAGCAATTTGGGAATGCCCTTTAGAGTTCATGATTAGTTTTGCAATTTGTGAATTTTGCAGTTAATATTTTGGAAAATTATACAGTAATTATGCCATTCATTCTTCTGTAAATCTGAACTTGTGGGTGTTCGGCGCAATGTTTGCTACAATTTGTTTTTCCTTACTGTGAGTATTGCGGAAAATGGGGCATGGCAATCAGTCTTCGCAATGCCTTTATGGTTGATTCAAGTTGTCAATATCTTTTATATTGAAAAGAAATTGGGTTGAATGTGGGTGTTAGTGTAAAGGTTCTTGGTTTAAAATGCAAGGCAACTTTGAAAAATATGCTAACGGCATTATAATTGTCCATTTCTTGGGAATTGTGGTTATAATGCAAGATTAATAGCAGAAGGTGTTGTACTGCTGTGGTGACTTATATTTTGTATGAGGTCGTTGTACATAAATTGTATTGGTGAAGTTGGTGAATGAGGTAGAAAAACCTTCTTGATCTTGTCATCAGCTTCTTTTCATACTCCTTGGACTAAGAAAAGATAAAACTTCAGTTTGGGATAAGAAATTGACTATATGAATAGATTTTGTTCCCTTTATTCACTCTCCCCTTGTACTGGTTAGGAGTGGAAATAGTTTGTGATTATTTTGTGTTTAAACAAGCTCAGAATAGGGGTAAAAGAAAGAAATTGATCTGGTGAATCTAGAGGCACTTTGCAAAATTGGTTTTTTCTCTCTCATATCCCTTACTTTTAAAAAAAATATTAAACCATTTTCTCTTTTTATAAGTATTAAATCCCCAACAAACTATGCTTATATACGAAGTACTACCTTCGTTTCTTAAAGTTGACACGTATTCCTTTTTAGGAAGTGTTTTTTTAGTTGACACGTTTCCTTTTGGGGTAAATGTTTTACCTTGTATTTACTAGATAATCCACTTGCCTTTTCATTGTCTCTCACTCTCTCTCCTCTCCTTAATATATGTGCCTAAATCAAACGCGTCAACTAAATAGAAATGGATGCAGTATTATTTAACAAGTTCAACTCAAATGTAAAAAAAAAATTCAAGTCAACTTCTTAAGACTCCGTGTTGAAAAAGCTTATGTAACATGTAATATGCACAGGGAAAGTATACTTTTTCCTCTTTATCTTTGTTAATTAATGGGTGCTAGATGAGATGAGATTAATGATGATACTAGAATTGTTAAGCTGGCTTGGAAGTCAAAAGAGGACTACCTTGTGTTAGGTGAAAAGATGGTGAATATATTTGACATTGAGATAAGTTGAAACAAACGCCATTAATTTCTATATGATGTATCTAACATGATTGATTTTTGGTTGTATATCTTTTATTTGGGCACCTTGTGCTAGGTCTAAAGATGGTGGTATCGAATGTGCTTAAAAGTCTATTAGTAATGAAAGTACTATTTAATTTATTAAATAATTGTACTATCTATGTTCATTTGAATTAGTGTGCTCAACAATGTGGTGGTACCGAATGTGCTTATCATGTGATGAGATATATGTATGAGATAGTATCTTTCCATAGAGATTGGAAGGGTAATTTGAAAGAGGATAGTGATGAATTTACCTCTTTTGTGCAAGCTAAAAAGCTTTATACGAGTTTTGGTTGATGTTTTATTTTTATAAAGTATAATATATATACACGTATTTTTTTTTCATATTTGCAGGAGTATTTGGTAAGACTTTCAGCCTACAATGATGTAGCATTGGATGAGATTCAAGAACAATGGGATAAGTTTTGTAGGCTTAATTTTTTGTTGAAGACTAGTTATCTTATTAATTGATGTTATGATTAACCGCATTTAGCTTAATTAAAAAATGTAACACATTTAATGTATCAACTTTAATTTTATTTAGCCTATTGGTTATTGTTATTATATTTCTAAATCATAAATCAATGAATTTTTTATTCAAGTTTTAATTGTTGTTTGGATATTAAAGTATAGTTAATTTTGTGTATTTTATGGTTGTGGATGAATAATTTAATTGATTTGCGTGAAACTATTTAGAGTGTTTGTATTGTATGTTGTGGGTGAATTTAAGTTATATGGAAGTGTTCGGAGTACGTGTGTTGTTGGTTGAATAGTAAGGGGTTATAACCCATTTGACGATGCCATTCTTGTATTCGGATCAAATATTTATAAAAGAAAAATATTATTCATTAGTAACTGGCGTAATCTAGTGTTAGTTACTAATATTATTTTTTTTAAAAAAATAAAAATATATATTCGTAATCGGCGTTGTGATTTGCCAAATACTAATAATACCCTTATTGTAACCGACGTAACTTAATGTCAGTTACAAATAGTATGATTTCTAACTTGGAAAATAGACTTTTTGTAACTGGCGTTGGGTTAAACCAGTTACAAATAATACATTATATGTAACTAACATTAGCCGGTTACGAATAATATTCACTGGTTGTAACGGTGGCATTCGCAACCAACAATGCCAGTTACAATAAGTCAATTTCGCCAGTTAAAAATAACACTTTTTCTACTAGGGATGGTTGTTATAGCTACAACAAATCCCTTGGATTCCATGGTTTCTATAACCACCATTTTGGTTATAACTATCATAGTTCACTTGGTTATGATAATTCCTATATACAACATTCCTTTGAGCATCAAATCTAGGTCCAACATTGTTATTAGCAACACAGTTCACATATTCATTCTCATTCCCAACATATTCATTACAAGGAACATTAGGGCAAATAGAAGCATCATGGTCATTCATTCCACACATATCACAAGACCAACATTCTCTAATCATGCAACAAGAAGAAGGAAGAGAGTTAGAGGAAGAAGATGTACCCCTCCCCTTAATTTGGGAGGGAAGAATCGGTGCTTGTGAGGTCGCGCTCTCGAGCTTATACTTTATAGAAACTACCTCCTTTCCTAAGTTCGAAATTTTAGTCGACAAATTGTTAATAGCATTGAGTTGTTCCATTGAGCATCACATAGTACTACTCTTGTTTATCGGCTCTTTCTCACCATCTTGCCA